CAAGGCCGCCGCCCGCTGCTCCGTGCGGGCTGGTGTCCAGGGCACCAGTGGAGGGCAGCCGCCCAGCCCGCCACCTCAGGCGCTCCTCCAGCATCCTCAGAGGCGGGATGTCCCCAGGCGGGAGGCCACCGTGCGTCACACCCATGCTGTCTGGGTCCCGATTCCGGCCGACTCCTCAGTCACACTCTGTCCCAAGCCCCCAGAGGTGTCTCAACTGGCCCACCTTCACCCAGCTTCTAGAAGCACCAGCACTCCCAAGAAGTTGGGAGACAGCGGTGGGTGGGTGCCTGTGGGAGGGGCGAGGCCCAGGGAAGGGGTGGTGCCGAGGACAGGATCAGATAGGACATCAGGGGAAGCAGACTGGCCCCCTCTCCCGCGCCATCGGCAGCAGACTGCAGTGCCCCGGGCCGGTGCCGACGGGCCCAGTGACAGGGCGCTGGGACCCACGGTGATGGCCGCCCTGGGCACCGCGGGCTGGCGGCCTGTGCTAGGTGCTGCCATGCCCAAGGGACAGAGCAGGGGGAACGGCAGTGGTCACAGGAGGGACTGAGGCTGGCGGGCAGGCAGAGCCCCGCACCCGGGACCCAAGAAACCAACGGCGGCGGGCTCCTGAGCACGTCGCTTGCCCGGGAGCCTCCGCCTGCTGCTCCGAAAAGCGGGCGATGAGAGCCACGTTGGGGCGCACTGGGAGGTCTACGTGAGCTGACCTAGCGGCCCAGCTGCAGCGAGGAGCCGGGGCTGTCACCTGGAAACGACGTTGCCTACAACCTCCAGGAATGAAAGCGCCACAAGCCAGCCACCGAACCCCGCCGCGCCCAGGGCCCTCCCTCCAAGCTTCCCACAGGGCGCCAGGCGCGGGCAGTGGTGTCCCCTGTAGACCCAGCGGGTGTCGGCCACCCATTCGGCCTCCCCACACCCCTTCCCACTCCTGTGCACGGACAGAGAGAAAGTGAGCAAGGGTTCTCACGCCAGCAAGGACGGCCTCGCCAGCAAGCCCGGGCTCCGCCCCCACGCCCCGGCCCCGCCCCAGACCCGCCCC